CACAGCCATCCAGGGGGAGAGAGACTCCTGCATGATGGGCGCTGTTATCTTTTATAACATAATCACATACATCCTGTCACCTCTGTCATGTTCTGTTGGTTAGACGCCAGTCACAGGTCCTTCCCATGCTCAAGGGGTGGGGGTCACACAAGAGCATGAACACTAGGAAGCAGGGATCACGGGTGGGGGCACCTTGAGGGTCTGTCCATCACACCTTCTGGTCCTTCCCCTCTTCTCCTTTCTTACCTTCCTCCTTCATTTCCACATCTTAGTCTAGACTCAGACCTAAGGCTTTGTCTGGAAATAAGAGCTTTACAGTAATGATGCTAACAAGTGCTGTCGCTTTATGCCAGGCACCAGGCTAGTTTTCTTTTCATTTTCTGTTGAAGTGTAATATACATACAGACACGGCAACCTCCCAAGTATGGAGTTGGGTGAATTTTTCAGAGTCAGACATACCTGTGTAACCACCACGCAGATCAAACTACAGGATATTACCAGCACCCTGATTTTTTCTCAGCCTCCCTTCCAGCCGCTAACACCCTCAAGGCGAATCTCTAACGGCATAGATTACTTTCACCCGTTTTTGCACATTTTATAGATGGAATCCTAGAGCCTGTATTGTTCTGCGCCTGGCTTCCTTTATTCAACATACTACTGTGGCCTATTGTTCTAGGATGTTCATTCCTATTGCTGAATAGGACCCCGTTGTGTGAACATTCTGCAATTTACTTATCTCTTCTACTGCTGACGGGCGTTTGGGCGGTTTCCAGTTGGGAGGTGTTACAAATAGTGCTGCTATGAGGGGTCTAGTGTGTCTTTTGGAGAACACACGTAAGAGCTTCTTGTATATATATCGAGTGGAATTGCCGGGCGTAGGGTATGCATATTGGGGGGAGCTATGTTTGCATACGTATTCCTCATGTGCCCTCTGCGAGGAAGGCATCCGCGGCCGTGTGCACCGCAGCACTGGGCCCGGGCCTGCACCTCCCACAGACCTGGAAAGACCAAAAGGGAGGAAGGGCCACGGCACAGTGGAGAATGGAGGCCTGGCTCCAGTGCTTTTTCTCTATTGACAACACTCTTTGTTACTTTTAAAGAGACCCACTGCTTTGGAAGATGTCTGCATACCAAGTTACCAAGCAAACATCCTTTGCTCCTTTAATTCACCTTCCAATTTCTTTATTAGTCAAAGACATATCTCACCATAGAGCTGTTGATCTGACAACCAGCATAAAGGAACTGGTGTAATTTCAGGTAAAACCAAAGAAAGTCCAGGTTTGGGTTCATCTCCATAGCCTCCCCACTAGCACACAGGATTTCCAGTGGGCTGTTGAAACACTGACAAAATGCTGCCCTTCCCCTTTGTAATGTCAAGGGAACTGAAGGTGATGGAGATCCCCACCCCTCCACTAGGAAATCTAAGACCCAGGCCATGTCCAGAAGTCTCTGATTTATTATGATCAGTACATTAATGCACAAGTAATGCACAAACCATTTGGACCAGGACTAGGCCATAATTTTAAAGTTGCAAAGCTCTGTCCATTTACTTTGGACTTGTTCTTAAGCTAAAACAGATTATATGAAGGTAGTAAGGAACATTTCCCAAACTGCCAGCAAGTGGCAGAAAGACTGCAGGCTGCTGCTAATATCAGGTGCACTTGTTTCTCCCCTATTTGTCCCTCTTCTCCAGCTCCCCTCCCCCTCTCTCCCCCCTCCCTCTCTTTCCCTCTCTCTCTTCCCCTCTCCCTCTCTCCCTGCCTCTCTCTCTCTCTCTGTGTCTGTCTGTGTGTATGTACATGTATGGTGTGTATAGTATATTACATATATCTCATATATATACATATATTAGAGAGGCAGAAAAATGTCTATTTTTATTTCTGTATACAAAATTGGGATTCCACCATGTCTTACTTTTTATCAGCATTTTTCCATGTGATTGAAAAAAATAATTTCCAAATGTGAATTTAAAAAAACCTGCCATTTGATAGTCCATCCCATGCAGTACATTGATTAATTTAACTAATTCTCTATTATGGTACATTTGAGCTGTTTTCAATATTAAGCCATTGCAAATAACACTGCATGGAAATGCTTGTACCTCCATCCTTGGGGACAGCTCTGACGCTGTCCTTGGGCTAAATGACAAGACGTTGAATAACCCACCAAATGGGCTGGCTTTGGATGTTGTCTTCTGAGTCTCATTATCAAATAAAAAATTTACACCACTGCCAACAGCATCCGAGAGTAACCTTTTCTGCCCACACTGGTACTTTTCTATTATAATAATTTTCTTAATTTTATAGGAAAATATGATAGCTTGGTTGTAACTTTATGTAACTGATTCCTGGAGAGGTCAGATATTTTTTAGGCTTGCTGTTCCTTTGCGCTTCCCCTTATTTCGCACTGTGTCCCGCCTTATTTCACTCATCCTGTCCCTGCAGGAGCCACCTGCGCTCGGGCAAGTCCCCTCTTCCCTGCTTCCCTTCCTTCCCCGCAGAGAACGTCGGTTTCCCGCCCAAGAACCTGGTGCCGTCAAACGCTTTGCAAACAGAACGCGTGTCGGAAAATGTACACTCGTAAGGCCCGCAGGCGGCTCGGTTGCCCACATTTGTCATCCTTCCAACTAGGATGTCCGAATTCCTCCCAGAGCTGTAAACCTCACCTCGCCCCCAGACTCTGGACACCACCGCCCAGGGGCCACCAGGGCCGTATTACCTAACGACTTCACCAGGTGGAGTTCATGTGCGTCTTGGGGTTTTTACAGGATTGCGCCTAGAAGAAGGGATCCCCACTGCTTTGGGGAAACGCACAACTATAAATCAGGTAACAATATGGTGCTGACTTATTTATCCTTGTAAGACTTTTACATTCTGAAGTCAGCATGAGACCCATCGACTGATCCACAGCCAATTTGCACAGTCATCACATTGGGGAAGCGGAGTCCCCCTTGCTCAGCTGGATGGCATGTGCTGGGGGCTTGCAGGAGCCCAGGCACCCCATAGGGCGGAGGTCCGATCACATATCTCAGTTTGAGCCAAATGTATCTTCCAGAGCCATGAGACAGAGAGACAGGAAGCACCGAACAGTGGGAAATTCTTCCCCTCGGCGCTAAAGCTGCCCTTTGGCCTCTCCCTGCACCCCCTGAGTTCCTCCTCCTTTAGCGGGAATGTTGCCTGGGGAGCAGCTGCATCCTGGTCCACACGATGGTGCGTCATCCCAGTAAGAGCAGATGTGGTGAGAGAGCAGCTTCCCGGCCCTCGGCTGGTGCTAATTAGCATCCAAGGCCAAGGCTGAACTCAGTGTCCCATAATAAATTATGGTACATCCTTAAAAGAGAATATTAGGCATCTACTAAAAATGTTTTCAAAGAATTTTTATAACACTGCAAAATGCTCACGACACGAAATAAAATGAAAGAAAAATATAAAACACACATAGAATTCAGAACATGATCCAGATTATGTAAAAGACTAGCTAGAAATACTGTAAAATGGTAACCACCATTATTTCTCCCAGCAAGATTATGTTTGAGTTTTATGTTCTTTTTTATTATATTTTTTAAATTTCCTAAATTATTTGTAACTTTTATCTACCCCTCCCCATTATTAATATTTTGAACGATCACATCTGATGTGATCTGCCCCAGGCCTCTGAAGGTTTTACAAGGTCTCATTTGTTATTCAATTGTTCTCTTTATGCGAGAGTTAGAGAGGGGTGAGCCGTGAAACCAGAGTGAAGACACGTCTCACTACAGGTATTTGCCGGCACCTGTCCTCACCT